TCTAATTTTACGTATTCTCTGAAATACTGAAATATTTCTGTAGTCCATATGTTTTTAAACTGTGAATCATTTTGTTTCTACATTTGGTACATAAACTATTACTGCTCCTGAATACATATGAATCTGCCACTTTTTGGTGATTTTTACATCCCCAGAAATTTGGGCTGAATTCTAAAATGTAATGACTCATTAGAAAATATAAAGAAACAAAGAATAATCCTGAAAAACAGAAGAAAAAAAATCATTCCTTCTTCTCTCTGGAAAAAATTTTCACAATAATGATTTCTTGGTCTTTAATTTTTAGCTTGACATTTTGAACATCCCAAGGGTGAAATTACATTTTCTTGTGAAAAGGTGACTTTAAATCAAAGCCCAGAGAGAATATCAGAGGGTTCCATTTTCCCATCTGGCAAATCAAGTGCCCAGTTAAAATCATGGTCTTTGCAAAAAGAAACCTTATTGTTTAACCACTTCATTATCCGACTTCCTCTAAGCAAAGAGCATTATCTGTGTAGCCAGTATGAGGACTGGGAAAAACACCCATTTTGAAAATGTGGAGAACTCATCTTACCTTGATATTCTAATGTAAGAGAACGTTACAGGCCACTGCAGGACCAGCAATTGAGAAACAAAGGTGTGCAAAAAAACAACTCGAGTTTCAAAGCCTAAAAACAAAGAAAATAAGAAAGAGCCTAAACTTGTGTAGCCTGTTTGCCTATTGTCAGGACAAATGCTGGGAACGTGCGCGAGTCCAGTCCAATGAAAACAAGTGTGGGCGGGAGGATTATGCGTGATTGATTTTCTTCCTTTCTCTATTTTCCATTTCTTTCCCATGATGAGATGCCACTTCTATATTATGTTCAAAAAAACTTTTTATAAAATTACTTTTGTTTCTCCAGCTACCATAGCTGTGCGAGGCAACTGAGCGAGCTGGTCCTGTCCTCTGATAGTCATGCAAAAAGACGGTGAGTATGAAATATCCAGACAATCCCACCAGATTTTAGGGTGCGCTGACCCTCATAAACCTTTATTTCAAAACAAAATAATTTTAAAATTTGGCATCTCTTTCTATCATTGTGGACTAATTACCCTTAATAGTTAACTCTACTTAAACTATGTATCTAGGGACTATACATTAAGTCAAATAAGTAAAATACTCTGATGATGGCTAGCTTTGAATGGAAATATGCCATTCACTGCAATATATTTGCTGTAGGAAATGATGGAATAATATCACAATTATTTCAGGAGTTGGTAAAAGTTCCCATAACAAAATTCATGCTGTAACTAGAACACTGCCTTTGCAAAGGACCATTTATAGGCTCACATGTTTGCATGTTGCAGAGGATAGCTAAAAACTGCTTTAGTTGGTGTTTACACTTAATAGAATTGAAGGCATTTAGGAAAAGTTTTAGTTGGAATCCTGATATCCCGAAGAACAAAGGACACGGGGCAGTGTAGAATCCACAGAGGAAATCATTGCATCCTTCAGATTCAAATTCTAAGAAAACTACTAATAGACTAGAAGGATGTTTAAATTCCTAAACCTGAGGGGTCTACATCTTAAAGAACACAGACTCTAGTTAAGACACATCATAGTCAAACTGACAAAAACCAAAGATTAAAACAATTAAAGCAGGCAGTGGAAGGTGACATATTATATTCAGGTATTTTGAACTTATGGGTTAGAAGAATTAATATCATCAGAATGTCCCTCCTACACCAAGCAATCCATAGATCCAATACAGTTCCTGTCAAAATACCAATAGTATTTTTCACAGAACCAGACCAACTAATCCTAAAATTTGTATGGAACTTCTTAAAGAAAACAGGGGCAGAATCTCTTGGACATCAGCCTTAGCAACATTATCAATATCTCTAGAGGCAAGGGAAACAAAAACAAAAATAAACTATTAGGACTACACCAAAATAAAAAGCTTTTGCACAGCATAGGAAGCCATCAACACAACAACTAAGTGGCAGAAGATATTTGAAATGACATATCTGATAAAAGGTTAGTATCTAAAATACTTACACAACTCAACACCAAAAAACCGAATGATATGATTTAAAAATGGGCAGAGAACTTGAATAGACATTTTTCCAAAGAAGAACTAGAGATGGCCAACAGACACGTGAAAATATATTCAATGTCACTAATCATCATGTGAAAATACAAATGAAAATCGCAATCACCTTACATCTGTCAGGGTGGCTAAAATCAAAACATAAGAAATAATGAGTGTTGATGAGGATGTGGAGAAAAAGGAACCCTCTTGAACTGTTGGTGGGAATGCAAACTGGTGCAGCCACTCTGGAAAACAGTATGAAGATTCCTCAAAAAATTTAAAATAAAAATACCATTCAATTCAGTAATTCCACTACTGGATATTTACCCAAAGAAAACACAAACACTTGCTTGAAAAGATATAGGCACTCCTAATGTTTATTGCAGCATTATTTATGATAACCAGGATATGGAAGCAACCTAAGTGTCCATCCCTAGATGGATGGATAAAAATGATGCAGTATACATATTCTTTTTAATGACCGAATAATATCCCATTGTATAGCTATACATAGGTATAGATATAAACATTCCAAATAACAACAACAACAAAAAACCCCCACAGATTTTCAGATAGGATTTAAAAGGAAAACCTAACTATAAGAGGTGTATATGAGAAGCACTTTAACTGTAAGACACAGACAGATAAGTTGAAAGTACATGGATAGTAAAGATATACCATGTGAAGATTAGGCTTGAGAAGGCTGGCTTGGCTATATTAATATCAGGAAAAAAAAAACCAAAAAAACAAAAATGCCAGACTTTTAACAAACCCTTTTACCAGAGATAAAGTGGGACATGATCAATTCATCCGAAAACTATAACTTATAAAAATTTATGGTTTAGTATCAGAGCTTTGAAATATATGAGACAAAAATTGACTGAATTAAAAGAAGCCAAGATAATTCCACCCCATAGTTAGAGATCTTAATATCCTTGTGTTGGGATTTGACTGAACAATGAACCCCTCTCCCTTCCCTCCAAAATCACTAGACATAGACCCTAGTCTTGGACTTGGTTACTGGAAAAGCTCTTTGCTAGATGAGCCACCGCAGAGGGAACACGGTATCTTTGTACCCCCACTGATGACACAAAAATAATTTTTAAAAAAGTTTTTTAAATATGTAGATTTGAAGTATTTCTATTGCTATTTCTTTATATGTTCTGCATTAGTTTTTCTCTTTTTTTCTTTTTTTCAAGATCTTATTTATTTATTTGAGAGAAGAGAGAGAGAGAGAGAGAGAACATGAGCAAGGCAGGAGGGGCAGAAGGAGAGGGAGAGGGAGAAGCAGACATACTGCTGAGCAGGGAGCCCGATGTGGAACTCGATCCCAGGACCCCCGAGATCATGACCTGAACCAAAGGCAGATGCTTAACTGACTGAGCTACCCAGGCATCCCCCCACTTGCATTAGTTTTTCTTGTAGCATAATTTTTCCAGCTCCAGAAAGTGCCTGAACACTATTTTCCATACAGATTTCCTTCCTATTCCAGCCTCTACATAATTTTAGGAACCATTTTTATTATTTAATTGTGATGTCTTGTTCTACATAGCTTCTTTACAACACATGTGCGGTGGGTCTTAGTGGCATTAGCCAGTGGATGGCTTGTTTATTCTGTGGTTGTATTACTAATGGACCAAAATGATGGCATAGATAGGCCAATTCACTTTCATGCTTTTCATCTCTGTTCAAAAGGCAGAAAACAAGACAATCATTTTTTTTGACAAAGGAAATTGATAGTAAGTTTAGACTCTAAGACTGGTCTTTGAAAAAAGGCATGAGAGGCTTTTGTACTTCCTCCTTAGGGCCCCCTCCAGCTTCTGCTAATGGGCATAGTCTGACTCTCTTTTATAAAGGAAAGATTAAAGCAGGGACTTAGCCCACGTTGGTTCTCACAAGACAGCTTCTTCTGAGGAAGCATGTAATAGAACTGGGCCAGCAGGCTCTCCAACCTACTCCCAGCTCTGGTATTTTCTGGTCATGAGCGTTGGCTCTGTCAGCCAGCCTCTTTCAGGGTCTGATTTTTATCTCTCACACAGGGACAGTGTGGATAGGCTGCCCCTCCTGTTTCACAGAGTTGCTGAAAATATATGAATTCTTGTGAATGAGCTTCATAAAACCGTGAGGCCTAATACAAATATGAGGTATTATCTCTCTTACTCTACTACTGCTCTCTATTGAATTAGATCCTATTTTAATTAGAAAAGGTGAAAGCTCTGGTAACACTCTCTTAGGTATTTTAGCTCCTTTGGCTTAACCTTCTCTTTTAATTTGTAGTGGGTCTTTACCTCTCATAATTAGGCCTTGTGTCTCAGCTGCGAAAAAAGGAAAAAAATGCCTTCCATTTCCATACCATACTCTTTTTCTGAGGGTGATTTTGAATTACACAACCTGAAGCAAATTCTCTCTGATCTCACAAAGTGACATTCCTCTGATTCTGACTAGGTTTATACCTCTGGATAGAAGTCATGCCTATCCTCCACTAAGTATTCTCAAGGGTGACTCCCCCTGGGTTTTTTAATCTACTTCTTCCTCTAGAAGAGAAACTTCCAGTATTTGGCCACCTTATCCTTTACCTCCATCCTCCAGTCCAGGAAAGAGACTCATTCCTCTATTGCCCCTAATGCTAGAAGATACTTCACACTCCATAAAGTCATGCCTGATCATATATATGCTTTAGATACTAAAAAATAAGATAAAATTAGGGGACTTGTATTATATATACATATATCTGTGTATATATAATAAATATAATATATATATATATAATTGATTGTTAAGTATCGTCAAATGTTAGACTAGGTATAAACAAACAAACAAACAAACAAACAAGCAAAACACAGTTTCCCCCCAAACCTTGCCTTTGTGTAGGGCTTTACTACAAATGCTTCCTGTACATCCCAGGGCCAGAGTGCATTTTTCCAATAATACCTGAATCATCATTAGTCCAGAAGGTTCTTGGGTCAGGCTTGGTCAGGATGCTGGCATGATTACATGGCTCTTTCGCCTTGAAAACATAAGGAGAAAAGAAGTGATGTGAAAATGCATTCACTGTTTCAGCTGTTTCCAACCTACAGTTCTATAGGCAAGATTCCAAGGCTGAAGCTAGTGCATATGGCAGCCCCGGGTCAGTTGGGATCGTGGGTGACCCTTGACCTGACACAGTTTCACTGCCAGGATTCATGGCTGGATAACCACATGGGAGCTGGAGTTCAGCTTCTGCTAGCTCCCTTATCCCATGCTTTTTGCAGTGCGCAAACTATACAGCTGTACACAGAGGCCTTGTAAGATTAGCAATGTAATAACGTAAGGACACTTACCACATGAAACGTGTTTTGGACTTCTACATAATAGAGAAAGTACTTTTAGCATATATGCTTGGGAAGATACATAATAAGGGAGAATTATTTTTAGTTCAGTGGCACCTTAAAATAAATTCTTCTGAAACTAACACCACACTGTATGTTAACTAATGAGAACTTAAATAAAAACTTGAAACAAAGAAATAAAATTAATTCTTATTTTATAATCATAACAGAAGCTATAGTTTTAAAATACTAGCACATACACATATGCAATATATATTTATATATATTGTATTCAACCTAATGTCTCTGCGTAGGGCATATCCACATAATAAATTCCTCACAACAATTTCTAGGGAACAGCACTAATCCTTTTTTTGGGTGCAACTTCATACTCACGTGATGTGTGGCTTTCAAAAATAGTTTCAGTTGGGGAAATAGAAATCTTAGGGTAAGAAGGACATTCAATTTAGAGGATGTCTTTTGTATCTATAGATGTTTATATTATTTTATGTGTTAATTATAGACTTTATATATATAGAATTTATATTATTGTATTTAGAAGATATATTTTATATCTAAATTTGATTACTCATGAAAAGTCCCTATGATTATTTCATGGATGAATTCCTTCCATTGCAGCAACAATCAAAATACTCAAGAATGTCACTTAATACTTCGTTTAGGTCTGCTGAACTTTTCTTTCCTTAGCAGGTCTTTACTGTTGAAAGAAGCAATGAATCAATTTGCAACCTGGCACAGGCTCCTTCTCTTGGTGGAAACTACTAGCAAAGAACGTGTAGAAACCAGGATCCCAGAGAATTATTTTCACCCTTATGCTCACTGCAGTATCATTTACAACAACCAGGAGATAAAAACAACCCACAAGGCTGTAGAAAGATGAGTGGATCAAGAAAATGTGGTATATACCTAAAATGAAATATTATTCTGCCTTAAAAAAGAAGGAAATCCCACCATCTGCAACAAGGTGAATTAACCTAGGCTAAGGGAAATAAGCCAGACAGAGAGGAACAAATACTGCATGATACTACTTCTAAGAGCTATCTAAAGTAGTCAAACATGCAAAATCAGAGAGTAGAATGGTGCTTGCCAGGGGCTGGCTAGAAGGAGGAAGTGGAGGAAGTGGGTATAAAATTTCAGTTACATGAGATAATTAATTTCTAGAGATCTGTTGAACAGCGTTGTGCCTAAAGTAGGTATTACTGTAATATACACTGAAAAGATCTGTAAATAGGGAAGATTTCATGGTAATTGTTCCTACCACACACACAAAAATTAAGGGATCGGTCACCCTCCTACACCTGTGACTATATCAGATAGGTACATAAAATATTTGATAAATAAAAATGGATGGAGTCTACATTTTATTAATGGAATTTTCTGGTAGTGTAATGTGTTTTTAATTGATAGGAAATATGATTTCAGAAGTTAAATTGTGGTAAAAAAAATCATGAAAATGTAAATCTCAAGGAAAAATAAGAAGAATGTATGGACCACATGACATTCTGAGCAGCAATGCAAAAATCCTTCCAACTTCACTAAGTGACCTCAATATAAATTCCTTCAAAGGGATAACATAGTCCACTAAAATACTGCTCCAATTGTTAGAAAGTTCTTTACAGGTTGAATTGAAATCTGGATCCTTGAAACTTTGCTCACTTGTTCTAGTTCACTCTTGAGCTGCATAGAACATCTGCTCTCTTTGGGAAATGATTTCCTCAAATATTTCAGAGTAGCCATTCTGTCTCACCTGGGCCTTCCATTTCCAGGGTGGCAGGCTTCTTTTTTGCCTCCCTTCCTCATGAAATGGTTTTAAGTCTCTTTACTGAGGTAAAAATTTCAAGCACACAAAAAAGTAAACAGTATAATAGCCACTTATGTACCCATCATACAGCTTTTAACAGTTTTCAACACTTTATCATTTTACCAGTCTTAGTTCATCTATTCCCCTCTTTTTTAGGCTGGAATATCATGAAGCAAATACCAGACATCGTGACACTTCAGCTGTAATTTCTTTAGAATGTTTTTAAGTAATGAATTTTTTCCCCCCATAACTACATGCTATTACCACAACCAACAATTCAAACCATAATTAGATTTATTAAAGTTTAATGAAGGCTGTTAAAGTTTATTTAATAAATGACAGCATAAACATTCTGAAAAACAAAATGATCTCTTGCACTGTTTTGCATACAGAGCAATTTGGAACTGACAATTTAGAAAGAGATCCTTTAAAACTGTGAATTCAACAAAGTTGATGGAACTTAGTCACACTTATTTAAATCCTTACAGGTTTGGGGGGGAGGTTGTCTTAAAAATATATGTTTTTCTCATAAAAGAGGTACTGTCTTTCAACTTATTTCTAATACATCCCTGGAGGGAAAGGAGGGAAAATCTCCTTGCCTAATAGAATTGAAAGTTTTAGAGTGAAGGTGAAGGAAAGAGGATTACTTCTAGAAGGTCATTGCTGAATGCTTATTCCCTAGAGTTTTGAGATCTAGAAGTACTTTCATAAGTTACTATAACATTAGAACATTAGAAAGATAAGGGCATTTGAATAAGGACAGAAGTAGTTTAACACTAAAAGGTAGGGTGCTTCAGATTAACACATCTAGGGAGATATCAGATGTTCAGAAATTTTGGACAAGCTCTGGGAAATGAACCTGTGAATAAATCATTAGAGACTCCACTGACATGAGAAATGAGCCAAATCTTAATTCTACAAAATGCCTTCAATTAATGACAAGTTGTAGTATCTGTAGGGTTGCCAGAAAGGAAACAATTATGGTCACCTTTCCTCATTCCATCTTATCTTGATTTAAAGAACATTGCTCCACAATAAATACATATACATGCATATATGAATAATTTAAAAATCACCTGTGGTGATGACATGGGAAAAATTAATAAGAACATATGGATTTGTCCCTGATTTACTTTAGACTTATTTATAATTTGTGTATGACTTTTTATGATTTTAGCAGTATGCTACTAAAGTATGCAGTATACTTTACTGCTAAAGTCATTAATTCTCCCTAAAATACAATAGAAACTCTCAACATGTTTGTTTGTTCTTAACCAGGGAAGTTGAGTCTCTCCCATCTCAGGTTACATGATGTTCAAAAGTAAGCAAGAACAGTTTATATCTAGTGATATAAGATTTTGCTTCTTAAACTGCTTTAGTGAGGCTTTAGAAAAAGTCCTCTAGATACTATCACAGAATATAAAGCCATTCTGCAAATATTAAATTTAAATTCAGTTCTGTGTACCCAGGGGAAGAAAAGTCTTCCTTATTTTTTTTCTCTCGGATGGCTTTATTATATCCAACAAGTATTTATTAAGCTTTTGTTGAAGACCAAAGGGCTGCCCTGATTGTTATAAGAGCACAATGGAAATGTATTGATCACTAGCTCCTTACCTTGTGATTTTGGTAACAGGACATAACCATCTACAAAGATGTCTATGGAACCTCATATTAAGTTCCTCTAAATCCAACATGAAGAATGTTGTATAGCTATTAAATTTTGTCCACTTTTAAAAAAGGAATGAATAGTGTGGACAAAGTTGTTGAGCAAGGCTTTAAGGAACAGGGAGGACTTGAGCAGGTTTGGAAAATACTGGCAACACTGGATTGGTGGACAGGCAGTAAAAAAGCATGCAAGGTGGGAGGGGCAATTACAAACAAAGGTGTGGGAGCAAAACTTAATAAGGCATGGTTAGGCAATTCTTGGTGGAACTACCTCATGGGAATAGAAAGCTCATGGGAGAAATGACTGGAAACTAGGTAGAAGCCAGATGGTGAAAGGCTTTGAATGTCAATGAATCCTTCACTCTGAGGGAATTCAAGAGCCTTAGCAGTTTGTATGAAAGACCAGAGTCACAAAGGACCAAAGCTGAGGAGATCAGGAAGCTGCTGCGCTGTCACAGATACACCGAGGAAGAGCACAATGAGCAAGGGCACTGTGAAAATCAGAAGGGAGGGATGGCTATGAAGGGCAGCTGTAATGATTTTGTAAAATTTGAGGGATGACCACAAGTGAGGAAAGAGGGAGAAGTCCTAAATATTTCAGAGCTTTGGAATTTGGGGACCAAGAAGAATGGTCAACTGTGGCCATGACTGTCCATAGTCCCCGGCAGCTAAAGAAATCACTCTACCCTGTGCCTCAGATAACGTGGCTGGCTTGTGGAGCATACTTAGGGCCTGGTTCATGTGCTGTGCCTACAGTCCTTCTGGTGGCACTTGCTTCATCTCTGACTTACCCAGACCATATCATCTTTGGGTGTTTAGTGGAGACACTTACACAGTTGTGGATGGGGGTAGGTAGGTGTGGGTTCTCAAGACTCCACCTTTGGGCTAATCCTCCACATTGCACATGGCAGGATGAGAATCCATCCACACTATTTCACTACAACAAACATCTCACAGTCTGTGTATCTGGTATCACTAACCTGACAGTGTACACAGGGCAGCAGGAGTCTTGTCAAGAGATTCGTCAAAGAATTTCAACAGAGATACTAAGTCTTATAGTTCTGAGAGAACTAATGATTTATCATCATTCAGCTGCTTAACATTAATTACATCCATATGACATGGAACATAGGGACTCATCTTGGCTCCTGAGAACACTGTGATTCCAATCAAGTAGACAAATGTTCTTCTTTTGGAGGCTTTATTTCACTT